TTTAAGGTCCCTTTTCTAGTATTAAAATAAAATGTAAAAGTAATTCTGCTCTTCCACTTCTCCCATTTTTGAAATGTTGTTTGAAACTTTCTACTTATTTATGGAGCAAATATGGAAAACAAAACATCAACATCAAATTAATGATATCATGTTACATTATACATAAATATTGTAGTAATTTAAAATTTAAAATAAAAATCCATAATGTTTGTACTTAATAAAAGAAAGTATTTTTCCACATTTCTGCAATTTAGACTGAATTTCTGTAACAGAACAATCAAAATGTAGTGGTGTTATAATGCCAAACAGGCTCATTAAAAAAAAATTGAACGGAACAAGTACATGAAAATTAAAAGTCAAACTATTTTCTTTAAATTTTCAATATTGTAGACAAACAATACAACAATAATAATCTAATGGTGAAACAATTGTGTCTACAGCAAATAAAATTTCTTGAAAATTGAAATTTATAAGTTCCTATTATTATGCGGGCTTGTACAACAAATCAACTAAAGCCCCAAAAATGTTAAAGGATTTTTCTTACCTTCTAGTCCCAGAACTCCAAACGTGTCCAAAAAGTAATTAATTACATGTTGCAAACTCATTCTTTAGTAATCCATATCATGCTGTGATCATTATTCTTATTCCCAGGAGAGGAAGTCACTTTCATGATTCTTCATTGAAGCTACCAGGACTTTTTCCAAACTTTCTTATCAAAAATGCACACATTACATCACCACTGTAACCCACAAAGCGTAGAAGCAGCAGTAGACCAGTGAGCGAGAAGGAAGTACGTCATTTGTTAATCTCGTCGAAGATAGTATATACATGTCATGTCCTGCCTAGACTGGCGCGAAATATTTAAAATTATAAAAATAAATACATTTTTTGAACTGTGAAATAGAAAATACGTATAAATCTTTTAATGTTTCTTCAACTAAATAATTTTTTAAAATAATTAAAAGCTTAGTAACTTCTATAAAGAAAAACTGCAAAAAACAGGAAAATAAAAACATGTTATATGCAACCATACATGCACTAGTGTAAATTCGACTGCATACAAATACTTGCTCAAAGGTTGTAACTTTTCAAATCAGTTTTCGCGCCTATAAAAATACACAAATATAATTCCATATTTTTTAAATAGATAGCAAAATGAACCAAGAAAACTTTTTGACAAAAACATTAATTATTCACGTTCTGCCTTTTATTGGAAAAGCTAAAATAATTATGTGCTTGCAAAATTGATACAAAAACTTCTTAACTATTATACTATTACCCTAAACGTTACTTAATAAACAACAAACACTAAAATCATTAAAATGATTTTATGATTATTTAAGACTACCAGATAAAATGACAAAATGTTACGACTCACATTGAAACTCTTTTACGTCTTTAGTAGTGCAAAAATGCCAAATTTAAAATTTAACAGCACACAAATACACTTTTGATACTGATCCCTAATTAATTTATTCCAACGTGTATATGAATATAAAAAGTGCCAATAAATTACCTTAACTTTGCATTAAAAATTATTTTTCTGATTATTGAACATTTATCAATTTACAATGACAAAGAAAGTGTTCCGAAATAAAATTACTAATCATTGGGCAAATAATTACGTCCTTGCCAAGCCTTTCCATTTTAACATGAGATAAGTTAAAAATTTATCACTTACTCTTGATATTTCTGCTTCCAGTGAATAAAAGGATACTGCTCCATACTGGGATGAAACGCAGACTGCTACAATGACAGATTAACTACACATGATGTCCAAAGTTTGTATAATATTCCTGTTAAACAAACAATAAAACATAAATAATAATATAATCAACATAATCTCAAACTTAGCAAATAATGTGGTAACAGAACGTTAAAAAGTAATGCATAAATAAGTTTCTTTGTGGTGATCTGAGTATGCTATAGTTAACATGTTGTAATAATGTTTTTAGTCAATTTATTAACATTAATACAAGCTTTCGTCAAGTCACAGGTTAAAAACCTTACATAATTTTTTTGCATTAAAAATAATATTTAATTCAACATAAGCATCATCAACAGAAGGCCAAAGTAATTAAATTAAGAATGAACAAAAAGGTTGTATAATTATAAATAAAACGTGAATGTTTACTGAATTGACTACTAATTAGCACACATTCAAATTGCAACTACAAATTTCTTGGTTAATAAGCATGACCATCAATAAAACACTTAAAACCAGAAATTTCACATACCATATCTAATCATAATGTACTTATTCTACATTTATCTTGTTTTAAAGGATTTAGAGCCTGCTAGACAGATAAATAAAACTGCTTTATGTGGGATGTTAGGTGCTTATTTAATTTTCCCTAATATTGCTTGAATAGCACAACAAAAACAGATCTAATACACTCTTAGATCAAAAACATCAATCCAATTATTTAACTGCAACAGTTCAGTCATCAAATTCAAACAGTCTCACCTTTTGGTCCAATTTGTTTGGGCTCATACTGGTCACAGCCCCATTTCTCACCATACAATTGATCCTTCCTCTAGACTTCATTTCCAGTACTTATTTCCATAATAAACATTGACAGGAAGAGGCCCCAAGACAGCACCAACTGTTTGATATACTACAGATATTATTTTCTGAAAAAAAAAAATACAAAATGTCTTAACCCACGTAACAAATACCGTTCCCGGACTTTGTGCTATCTGATGTCATTCAGCCATATGTGTCAATCTTTAACTGCCTTAAAAATTGCTTTTAAGATTAATGATCATAAAAATATTTTAGAAACACACTTAAAGTTAGACGGTATATCAAAATAGACAATAAAATAGCTAAATTCAACAAAATTTCAGTTGACGAGCACTTCAAAGTAGAAGAATTGAGCGCAACTATTAGTAGTATTATTTTTGCTTATCATTGGACTCGCCTACGAAACGCCCCTTTTATCTATGAAACGTCCCATTGTTATTGTCTCCTCCATTTAATTTGATGTTTATTTACATCGATAATGTGCCTGGATATTATATTTTAAAAAAGAAATTTTGAAATTTCATGGATACCTCACTGAAAGAGATTGTTAGCAATCATCCAATCGAAGCCGTTATTTTATGGTCAAAATTGCACCATGAAGGCAAGACTTTTCTAACTGAATGTACTGAAAATTTTACAAGACTACAGGTAATTGTGACCTAATGTTATTGCAGTCACTTATTAAGGCATTTTAGATCGTCAAACTTTATTATACGGCTGTGGCACTAGGCGGTTACAACGTGCTAAAATTGCATCAAAAAGACATTGGTGATGTTACGATAGAAACATCAGAAGGATTTAGTGATTTTTCCCAATATTTAAAGCTGGATGGTGACTATCATTGCAAGAATTACATGCCTTCTCTTTTAGAGCTTAGTCGTTTAGCTGCTCGTAAATTTATTATTAGTGTCAAGAATGTGCCAGACACTTCTACCTTCAATAACATCTCCAAGAATTTGAAAATCCCTAACAATTTGGTGGACTACATTTCTTTTAAGTAAATAATGTTTGTTTTGTCTTAAGAATTTATGGAGTAAATACATGATAATTTATTTGTAATCGAACTTTCACTTAGTTACAATCTACCTTTAATGACTTCAGCAACAACTTGACGACTCTAAACAATTTTGTCTGCAATTGTAGTTCACTTTCAATTGAATTTTCATTTTACTGATTCATATTGCTCACAGGAATGGATTTTGAAAAGGAAAAGTGAAATATTTTCAAATCAAGAACCGAGATTATAATTTATTCGTGTTTACACAAATTAATATACAAAATAATTAGTTTAAAGGTACGTAGGTACTTATACTATGTACACTGATTAGAAACTTATTTAAATAATAATGATCACCTAATACTCTAGCAGTTATATCAATTATTATGCCTCTAATTCTAATAATCATATAAAATCCTCTAGAAAACCAATTTTTTAAACAGTGAGGGAGAAATACAAAGAGAAACCCTACAGGAAAAAAGGACTAACAGTACAATAAATATTGCTGTTTTCGTTAAAAACTCTTTTAGGCAAAACCACCACAGTTTTCATTTAATATGAAAAAATAAGCATAAACTCCTTGACTATGATCTTTTTTTAATTTTACTGAAGTTAGCAAAAGTAAAAATCTAAGTCAAACCATCAACATTATCTCAGAAACGCAATAAAGACGTTTTTAAATTTTGCGTATTATCAAAAATGCTTTAAATTTTTAATTCGTTATGTTATTATAGGAATACAAGATCTACCTAACTAAACTTTTATGAACAACCAAATAAACTAAAAAATGAGCTAATTTCGAGTTTAAAGAAACTTTAAGGACGATTTATGTTTATACTGACAAGTAAAATACAGGATGTTCACAAATTAAAACTTTAAAAAGAAAAGAGAAAACCAAAGGAATTTTTTTATAATGTTGACAGAAATACCCTCGTATTTTTTTAATTTAAGCCCTAAAACATATGTCAGCTTTAACAACAATTATTACACCCTTTCTGTTCCATATCTACCACCAGAAAAATTTAATTTCAAATATTCACAATAAATTTCGAAAAAATAACACTTTTCCCAAAAATATGCCTGGCAAAATATCACAAAAAGGAGCAGTATCAATCAATAGGGGATATTATTTATTTAAAGGGTCACCAGCCGTAATTCATAACTATTTTTTGAAAATTTAGGAAATGGGAGTCGTTTTAATCAAAACAAAACCAGAAAAGGAATTAAATCAATTCTGTCCTACCTTTTTTTTGTACAAGACAAGATGGAATTGAATATGTTGGAAGTTTCTTTTTGTTAGGACAGTAAAAGTATCGACTGGGATTTCCTAGCAAGCACAGGAGTCCCCGTTGTTACGTGGGGCCGTCTTCGTCAGGCTAATGGGCTCAGGCAATTCGCTGTACAGATCAACGGTGTGATTCTGTTGGCTAAGAGCATTCCGAGCTATGCTTTGGAAAGCCTGTTCAACATTTAACGCCTCCTTGGCCGATGTCTCGAAGTAAGGGATGTTATTCTTTGATTGACACCACTGCTGCGCCCGTTTGGTCGAAATAGCTCGTGGTTCTAGGTCAACTTTATTGCCCAAAACAACGAAGGGGAAGTTCTCGGGATCTTGGGGTGCAGCCTGGACCAAGAACTCATCCCGCCAACTATCCAACGACTTGAATGTATTTGGGGCAGTTACATCAAAAACTGGAATAAATGAATAGGAAAATTAATATTAATAAAAAATGTGCGACCACAAATGAGATTTTTGCTAAAATAGAGAAATTGATTTTGAAATAAAGAGCCTTATGATAGTTGTAAGGTTTTTTTTTTACAAAACCGTGCGTTTCTCTGATTTTTATACATATTAAAGTAAGTGGAAGAAATGAAAAAGAAACTGGGGCAGAAAGTTTAAGTAATATTTTAAATAATGGGGCAGACAGTCAATTTTCATTCACATTATATATCATCATTAGGTTGATATTGAAAAACATTTTTTATTTCTTATTCTCTTCAGAATTACATACTTCAATTTAATTTTTCCTGTAATATTTACAAAACTGTCCAGTCATCTGAATTATTCTAGATTTATTAGTCTGCAAATTGAAGCATTAATAAAATTAGTTAAGAATTTATTTTGCACATAAGTACATGTAGGCGTTTACAGATAAAAACGTGAACACAGTTATTACTCACTGTAATGTAATACTAGCAGTCATTATCACCTCTGTTAAAAAATCCTGATAAGCATAATAAATTTTGACAAAATCAGTCATCATGTCATCAGTGTTCTGGCAATTGCATGATGCACATATAGAAACAAAAATTCTTTTTCAAATTTAAATAATACGGTAAATATTAGGGCTGTTTATTTACATCGATAATGTGCCTGGATATTATATTTTAAAAAAGAAATTTTGAAATTTCATGGATACCTCACTGAAAGAGATTGTTAGCAATCATCCAATCGAAGCCGTTATTTTATGGTCAAAATTGCNATTTAGGTATATAACAAAACTACAAACAATTTCCCTATTTTTTTTCGTATTATTAAACAAAATAGCTTTCTGACAAAATGGTAATTAGTTTGATTAATTACGTAAGCTCAAAAGGAGTGTTAGCCCAGGACCTCCCACACGTATAGGTACGAAGACAAATCTTTAATTCAAAGATTACATTGATTCAAGCACAATAATAAAATTACATTAAAACAGTAATTGCTTGATATATGAATAATTATTGTTCTTAATTAATCAAAACCAGATTATCTGTGAAATATCTGACCTTGACTCTGCCTTTCTCAAAGACATACGTTAAAGGTATTGTTCCGATTCAATAAATTTATTATTTTCTGCCCTATTGTATTTTGCCTTCGGCAATACGGCTGTGGATTATTTAAAAAAAAAAAGTTGTATTTAATGACAAAGCAGTTTTTAATTAATTGAAAGCAGTTACTGATGCAAGAAAGGAAATCCTATTCGATTTTATTCACTGTTGCTTACTTTGTGCTTGCCCCAGAACATATGTAAATGATATGAGCACGAAAACTTGAGTAAATACAACTTTCATTTTAAAATTATAAGACCTACTGTTTAATTTAATTAATTCATTTCATTATTAATATATTATTTGTACAAATATTTTGTTATAAAGACATTAAGTTCTTTTTAATGTTGGTTATATGTATAGCAATAAATAATTTTATAAAGTATTTAATCTTCTTTTAATTGTACTGTTTGACATTCATTATAAAACAGGAATATTAAGAAGTAGAGATAAATGGGATAAGAATAACACATTTCAATGTTCTTTGGGTTCGTTTAATTATGTTTTATTGTAGGTAAATCGTTTTTATATGGTTGTTTTATTAATTAATGCCGTATTTACATTTATGTACATTTGCAACGTAAATTGTGCTAATTTATTATTATTTTGTAACACATTGGTTGTGCTTATTGGACGAATTTATAGATAATGGGAGAATTATTTTGATATTTTTGTGAAAAAAGCTTTTTTTCCTCAAATATTTATTGTTATACGCGGTCTGTCCAAAAAATTGAACAATAACTTGATATAGAAGTACATTTTATAAAAAAATGCCACCTCAGTAAGTAGATAAATAAATAAGAAAAATATTTTTAATGCAGTATAAAGTATGATAATTTTGTACATGAAAGGCCTGTTCTTAGGTTAGGTGGTAAAGATGTTTTTTTGAAGGGATGGGGAAGACCTTGTAAAACAGTCTTTAGATTGAGACGCAGAGAGTTAAATTTGAGGATAAGAGAATTATAAGTTGTTTTGTAAGTATAGAGGTACTTGTTATCCCTAAATTCTTACCAAGTACACAACAGTCTGCACCCCTGTAGAAGGCAACTCCTAGTGATTGAAACCTCTCCTGTCCTGCTGTGTCCCATATTTGCATGGTGACAATTCGGTCATCCACTTGAACTTCTTTAGTAAGGAAGTCTGCTCCAATAGTTGCTTTGTATTGATTAGAAAACTTCCTGTTTACATACTGATTCATCAACGACGTTTTCCCAACTCCAGATTCCCCCAGGATGATAACTTTTAGCAGTACTTTCTTTCTTGTAGCCATCTGAAAAAAATATTGCGATGTATTTATTATAATGTCATGAAAATGACACGCACTTAAAGTTGCAAAATAAATTGTTAAAGGGGGTGGATGTAGTAATAAAATAAAGTTGCACTGCAACGAAACAGGATTATTCCGACTAAAGATGATTATCTAATTATTCGAATTAGATGACAAATACGTTCGAACAAAGAAATATTCGTCAGCTGATGGGTCAGTCAGGTTGTTGTTGAAAAGCAAACACTACTAAAACAGCAGTACGACCAATACGCAGTTAATACAACAAACGATTTTTAAAAACACAAAATTATTAAAATAAACATAAAAAACTTAATTGAATATCACCTCACCTTTAAAATAGATAATTACACACTTGTTAAATTTCAATGACCAAACATAAAATGGCGTATCTGCATCTGACTGTCAAAAAGTTTGATACCATAGAGTTTGATACTTTTTAACAACGTAGTAATTACGACATCGACAGAAATAAAAATTAAATGTTGTTTTTAAAAACCTCTTCATAAACAATTCAGGAATTATTAAAAGCATTAAATCATTAAATAAGTAATACCAATTAATAAATCCTAAACGTTAATTTTGAATTATTTGTCTGTTATAAAAAATATTTGTTATTTTTAATGTGAAACAAGGTTATCGTTTATGTAGCCACATTCTATGAGACTTGACCATTCTATGCTTGACTATTTGTTTTGAAAAACATAACCTC